GTCTACAATTATTTTTCAGGCTATCAAAGTAGCTGAGAAGACAAACAGTAAAACAACATTTTAAAAAATATCTACTGAAACAATACAACCTTAATAACTGAGTGCGATGGAAGCTCCTCATTTGGAGCTTTTAAACAGAAATTAGATACCCATCTGTCGGGAATACTTTGTGCTTTTCCTGCATGGCAGATGGTTGGACTGGATGGCCCCTGTGGTCTCCCCCAATCCCACAGATATCTGAATGAAATTATCTAGATCCATTTCAATCTGGTTTCAGGCCTGGTTATGGGTCAGACACAACTTTAGTCACCTTACTGGATGATCTATGCACAGAGATGTATAGGGGGAGTGTGTTCCTGTTTGTTCTAATGGACCCCTTTATGGCTTGTAATATCATTGACCATGGTATCCTTGCTGAGGTGGAATTTGCAGGTATGAATGAATGCTAATTCAAATTCTAGGGGCAATGATAAGCTCAGGAGTCCCCTAAAGGGCTGGGCAGTGGTGCAAGGAAAAGGCCACAAGTTGGATTCTTTCTACAAAGGCTTTTATTACGGGCCAAAGCAATAAGGTGACAGTAAGTGCCCACTGCACAAAAAGTCTGTTGCAACTTGAAATAGGGTTGCAAAACTTTTTATCAATTTCACAGAAAATTGAAAGCATGTTCTCATTGGTGTACAAAGATCAATCATTCCCTTCGTCTAAGCTGACTAACAGATTTTCATTGGCTCTCTATGACTCTAACAACCAGAAAGTCAAATAGGCACAGTGGCTAACAATGAAACAATTATGCTTTCATACCCTGAATGTATCAATAGATGGGTTTTATTTGCTTTTCTGTTTCAAGCATGCACTTCAGGCAGCAGAGAGAAATTCTATTTAAAAGGATGTCTCCCTCATTTAACACTTTTTCATTTTGCGAAGCTTTTTAGTGGAGCAAATAAGCAGGTTTTACATAACCAGAGCAAAGAAGTGGTTAATCTTATTGCCACACAATGACCCCCTGTCCTGGCCAATTATCAGCGTCTACTTGGGACATTTCTTCCAAGCTAGGGATGTATTCACTACTGTTATTCCAATTGGGAATGACATCCAAGAGTTGTATCTGTTCAATCTTTATAGGGGCCACTGCAGAGAATAAAGTAGACCTACAAGCATGTATTATCAAAATGAAGCAACACAAAAATATCAGTAACATTATGACAATTGCAATTCCAGATATAACCTGAGTTTTTAGCCACTGTAGGTCAGGAAGCCAACAGGTGAGCCAATTCCACCAACCTGAGTTCTGAGTGTATGTGGATCTGATTGTGTTCACTATCTGGTGTATCTTGAAGCATTTTCTTCAGTCTGCCCAGATTCATTAATGTAATGACAGCATGTCATGTTTAGCCAAATGCACAAACCTCCCTCTTTGCTCAACAGGTAGTCCAACGCCAATCTGTGCTATATCTGGGTGTTGGCGTCTCACAAGCTCCTAAATAATGCCTAGTTTCTGAGTCAATTTTACTCTTGATATTTTATGAATAATATCCCAATATCACAAATGTCATCTCAAAACCTGTACAAAAATGACAAAATGATAAAAAAAGAAATCAATGTGAAAAATCAACCATGTATGAATCATTCATTGTAAAATGCTGAAGTGTGCAGTAAATAACTACATGCCTGATAGCAATAGTTGTAGCACAAAATAGCCATTACAGAGACTGTAAATCAAATAGTGTACCTCATTTCTTAAAATCAAATTTATTTTTTAAGATTTTTGCAGAACTCCTATGATGCTTTTGCAGAACCTGGGATTCTGCGGAATGCAGCTGGGAAACCCTTGCTCTAATGGGTCACTTTTTATTTCATACCAAACTGTCTTACTGTCCAGTATAACCTGTCACATGAGTATATAGTGATCTCCAGTTATACATGGTGTCATTTGTAAACCATATCCTATTTTAGGATCTGAGAAGCTCTGTACTGAAAGTATGCAACTTTCTAGGAAAGAGACTGACTGAAGAGGAGATAGATGATGTTGTGGATAAGGCTTCGTTTGGCAAAATGAGTGTGGATCGTAGAACCAATTATACCACCATGCCTCCTGATGTCCTAGATTTCAGCAAAGGACGCTTTATGCGCAAAGGTAAATCAGTGGCCAATGAAGTCAGTGGGAAGGAAGTTGTGTGGATATCTCATAACCATATCTGACCTCTATTCTTCCACATTTCAGCTTCACGGGAAAAGGTCTATAATTTTTGAGGCTTCAATAAATATGCTTTATTGTGCTGAATTACAGGCAGTCCCAGAGTTACAAACAAGATAGTTCTGTAGGTTTGTTCTTAAGCTGAATTTGTATGTAAGTCGGAACAGATATATAGGTGTCTCTTTCCCCAAACCAACACTTGGAAACAATCACAGCGGACTATAAAGAGCAATAAAAGGTAGCATTTTCAAAACATCTTTCTTAATTTAGTTAATTCAAACTCTAGCCCATTTTAAAGTTTTGAATAGCATAGGAAAGGGTTAACACACTTGTAACATTTGTTTTGCTGCCCATGCCTTTGTTCAGAAGATTTCAGGTCACTTTCTGTCCCTATGGCAGTTGGATTTTGAAAATTTTGGCTTGTTGTGGAAACAAGGATCAGTGATAAAGCTGCAGTGGAGACATATTTTTCCCATGATAACTCTTTCAGGAGTGAATTTCATCTCCTAAGGACAGATTTCTTCACACTTCCTGTTGTACCACACCATGCTAACAAAAATCTATATACATAAAAATGTAATGTTTGTTTGTCGGATTAACATAACTCAAAAACCACTGGACGAAATGACAAATTTGGATACAATACACGTATCAAGCCAACGAGTGACCATCACTCATAAAACACTGAAAAACACAGCAGAAGAGACTTAAAAGCCAAAGAATAAAAATACATTACAACTCATGCACAAAACCACACATATATATGCAAACACACACACATATATAAAAACACAAATATACACACACACAAAGCACATATACAGAGACTGGGCCACACGTAGCAGGGAAGGGCTAGAAATAAATAAAATCTTCATGCAGTTCTACGTCAAATACAATTTGGACAGATTTTTGCCTTAACATATTCTTTACTTTTACTCATGTATGTAAATGCTTCAGCATTTTCAAATACTGTAAAAAGCCTGGTGTACTGCTGGTTGGTGCATCTGCTCCTGAGCCCACCTGTTGCCATCACCTCCCACATTCGTAACTAGGGGCCCTTCCAGATAAGCCCTATATCCCATGATCTGATCCTAGGGTTTCTGCTTTCAACTGTATTATGTGAGTCTGCCAGATAATCTGGGATAAACAGAAAACCTGTGATCAGATTCTGGGATATAGGGCCTGTCTGGAAGGGCCCTAGGAGTTGTATCTGTTCTAATGTCTGCAACTCAGGAACTGCCTGTATATGGTTTCATTTTTAAGGATTTAAGTTAGAGCAGTAGTTCTCAACCTGTGGGTCCCCAGATATTTTGGCCTTCAACTCTCAGAAATCCTAACAGCTGGTAAACTGGCTGGGATTTCTGAGAGTTGTAGGCTAAAATACCTGGGGACCCACAGATTGAGAACCACTGAGTTAGAGGTAGACAGCTCCACTGGATCTAGAAGTCAATTTTCTGCTCAAAACCTTCCAGGTGCTTCAAGAAATGCAAAAATGCAAAAAATAAACAACAACAAGAAGCCAAAAGCCTTTTAACTTTGGGAAAAAGAAGATTTTTAAAATGTTAAAAAGTGTAGGGCAGCTCTTCAAATTGAATTGAATTGCCATTCCAGCAGGCTTCCATAAAGGGCAATTGACTCTACTCTCCTTTGACCTGGAAAGAAAAGCTGCTACAGCCCTTGGCAGTTGTAATATTTTTATCTGATCTCACAAGAGACATGGGACAGTAAGTAGTGGTACAATAGTGGCCAGATAGCATGAGTTCCTCACAGTAAAAAAATCTGGCCAAGAATTATGCATAATGGATGCTAAACATCTATTTATTTATTTATTTATTTATTTATTTATTTATTTATTTATTTATTTGCAGTATGTATATTCTGCCCTTCTCACCCCTAAGGGGATTCAGGGCAGATCACAGAACACATAAACGGCAAACATTCAGGGCCGTTATATTCTGACAAGACAGACAACTGTACATAGATAGAAGTATATATAGGCTTTCCCATCTTCAACATCTTGGAGGTTTGTGTTTGATTTTGGCTATGAGGGGGTGCTGTTGCTCCATCTTACCTGCTGAAGAACTTTGTTTGTAAATTTCTCCTTGATCTAATCCCTTTCTCTCTGAATTCTATACCAGGTACAGTTGGAGACTGGAAAAACACAATGACGGTTGCACAGAATGAAAGATTTGACAGTGTTTTCAAGGAGCGAATGGAAAAGCTGCCCTTCAAGTTCTGCTGGGATATCAATGATGAATTATGAAAAAGGATGGACAAACCTGCCTCTTTTGCTTTGTACAGACCTTTTAAAAAATTGATGAAGCTAAAGATCTGTTCCAACTTGTTTTTAAATCAATTTGCAAAATTTGGTGGATAACTGGAGATAATTTTAACAGAATTCTCATAATGTCCCAATTCTAAATGCCTTTCCCAAAATATAAACAATTTTAATATATTTTTCAGAAATAAATGAGGAAAGAGAAAAACAATACAAAAAAGATTTTTATAATATATACATCCAAAACTACTTCTTCTAACATTACTAAATCTGAGACAATTGCTCTAACATGAAACATCCCCAAAGTAATAAACACAGATTAGATACACAGGTAACTATAACTATTCTACGAACTTCACACTTGTTGTCTATCGATTTTTCATCCTTGTTTTTCTAGTCTTTTAAAATAGCACTGTATGGCCACATTTCTATCTTTAATAACACTTCTCTAATTCACAAGTCCAATAGTTGAAGTTTGTCCCCACTGTAGGCAAAGGATAATTAAGTCCAAATCTTTCTTAAGGTTACTAAGGGATTTCTCCATAATTTTAGGAGAAATCCCAAAAGACACACATTTTTGAAGAGAACAGGTAAGCATGGGAGAATTTTAAATCTTTTGTTTTGTAAGATGCATTTCTTCATGTACAACATTTTGTATTTTTGTTTGACCAGAGACAACAGTCAGATCATTCCCATATTTAGGGAACTGCAATGGATAAAAAAGACAATTGCATTAGGGAATGTGAAGTGGCTGAGAACCTATGAAAAACTAAAGACATTTCTTTACAGTGACTAGTGAGGAAGCAGGAATCGATAAACTTGTTCTGTTTGGTACAATATTCAGTGCATTGCAAGAGATTATGTTCAGCACAGGAAATATTAATTTAATTATTATTCTGTATTGTTTCAAAAAATTAAATCTCATGAGATACTATGAAAAAGTGAAAAGTATACAAAGGAAAGTATAGTAAATATAGTAAATATAGTAAATAAATTTCTCCATGAACATTCAACACATTTAATCTATACTGCTTGGAAACATGGATGATCAAAAAATCTTAAAATAATTAATACAATAAGCATTATTATTTTTATTGCACTGACATTTCCCTTCTCTTCTCAAGTATTCTCTCGATATCTTTAGAAAAGGATTTTGTTTGAAAATCACTGTGTAAACTGATTTAAGAACAATGGTTTGATGTAATGGGAAGTTGGTTTTAAGAGAGTTTTACATATTATTTTACATTTTATTCATTTTGAATTGTTGATTACATACTGTACTGTCGCCTGAGTTTTAAATTTCATAATGATAAGAACTAATGAATTGAAGTCAGGGGGTTATTTCAATTTGAACTCTTGTAACAAAACAAAAAGAGGCATCTGATTAGAGTTTATCTTAGGGTAAAATGCTAAACATCAATTGAAATTTTTAAATAAACTTAATTTTGAAATTAAGGAATACAAAACTTATAATGTATAAAACTTATGAATTGCCAAACAATCAAAGATTTTGCTGTTCCCATTTAGTTTGAATCCACTACATTCTGTTTAATATTACTTATGCTGCAAAACATCAGGGATAAAAGATCAAGCACCACGAACTTGAATTATTAAATGACAGAATAAATGAATATTCATTTTTTTCTGTAGTGTGTGAAGTGATATGATACAACAAAGGGTTTTGAGCATATGCAGAGTATAAGATATATCTACATGTACAAAAAATTATACAACAAAATCCTGGAGCATTCCTGCACTGGCCCAGCCCTAGATTCTGCAGAGCAGTTCAGTGGTGAAGTGGTGGGAATGGAGTCCAGATTATTCAGCTGCAGTGGCAGGGATGGCACGGGCTCAATCTATCCCCATTTCCCGTGCTTCAGAACAAAGAGGACAGTGGCATTTGGCCATGAAGACAGTGGAGTGGTTCAGATTGGACCCGGTCCAGCTATCCATACTCCATCCAAAGTGCAAGGCCGCTCTGGGATTTCATTGAAGCATTCCCCAATTTCTCCTAATGCAAGATAAAAATGGGTTATTTGAATACCCTGAAATACAATCCATGGATATCATCTGGATATCCAGGAGCCATTTCCGGTCCAATGCAAGGTATAGAGCCTATATAGAGAAGCCCTAGCTGTCAGGTGAAGGAGAAGCGGAAAGCAGCAAAATACTGTGCATGTTCTGAGTAAAATGGATACTCAGAACATGCACAGTACTTTGCTGCTTTCATTTCCAAGCAGAGAAACTTAACCTCCTCTCCATAGGTGATTTCAGGATGGTATAGATAGCGATCAGTAATTTGGGACAATCAAGACTGTATACTTTCAAAAAGATTATTGGCTGATCTGAAATTTGGATGGCTTGTTTTTTGACTGACCGCTTGATTTGACTTTAGTTACACTAACCCCTGTTTTTTTCATACATATATGCTCCCATTTTAGTAGTATAAAAGAACAAGGTTTATGGCAGTGTATGTAATGATTTTAGTAGTAAATCAACAATGTTTATGGTAGGACATGTAATGAGGAAGGAGCTCATGTAAGTTTTACGGGATCACCCTTCTATAAGGAAGTCAACACGAGGCTAACACCAATCAAGAAGAATCAGCATCTGGCCAGGAAACTGAGATGGAACCAGGATGGAAGACGTCTATCATTACTTTACAACTTTGGGACTACATCAGCAGAATATTTCTATAAAAGACTCAACCTAATAATTCTCAAATTGTGGCAGAACACAGGAACCTGTTCCAGCCGCCTCTCTGTCCATGGGAAGGACAGAGGTGGTGTATTCAGAGAGTGTTAGATATGCTATGGAAAAGCATGATTCTGGTCACTTGGACCTTCTTTCTCAAGGAAGGAAGAAGTGGGCTTTTGGAGTCTTGGATTTTGTGCAGGGAGTCAGCCTCTGCTGTATAGAAAACAGAGATCTGGTCATGGCATTGTGCTTAGGGAAATAAGTTTTGAAGTTATAGAGGTTTTGGAACTGTGTGTTGGCAGGGTGAAGATAAGTAGGGTCTGGTCTAATGGGTTTCTCCAAAGAGGGAGAAAAGGATATGGTAATATTTGGATGCACGTACATGTGTGTGAATGGTGACTGAAAATGTAACTCCCCTGTGTTTGTTTGTTAGCCAATGTAACTGCAAGTTGTTTGTGAATCCAATGTAGTTGCATATAATCTGTATGTCTATATGTCTAATGTCGTTCTTTGTGTAAAAAGGTAAAACACATATATATGCTTTAAAGTTATTGGAAAATTATTCATGAGAGTTGCACCGGGAATAATAGGTAGTTGACACTCCCCCCCCCCCCCATGAGATGGGGACTCAGGTGAATTGGACGATCCTGGGTGTGGGGCGATGGGTTCCACACGCCCCCTGATGGGCACTGCCAGAATTGCAATGATGCGTGGTGATTCCGATGGTCTTTGTGATGAGGTCATAAGTTGTTTCAGAGCCTTGGAAAAAGAAATGAGGAGGGAATGAGGAGGAGGCTATTACAACACACAAGTAGAAGAAACTGAGCTGGAACTGCAGGTTAAATGAAGTGGTTCATAGGTCCAACTCCTCCTTTTCTCTTCATACCACAAAATGCCTGTTTTGCAAAGGGAGGGAGGCAAAACAGAAACACGAGGCACCCTAGCCTTCTGGCTAGACCCTCTTTTTCACTTCCTGAAGACAGTGTGGCCTTGTGAATGTTCAAACAGTTGGGAGAAGGTTGCAGCAAAGCAAGTTTGCAAATAACCAGAATTGGTAGTGCAAAACCTGTTAAAAGTGTATTCTGTATTCCTAACAGTCTTTTAGAAAATTCTTCAAATTAAATTTTTAAAATCAATTGATCAAAGTCTAAGGAATCAGTAATCCATGTGATAACTTCAAAATGTTTAATTCTTCAAATAGTTGCTTTTAATATATTAAATAAAAAATAATCATGCAAAAACATTGCCAAAAAGTTGTGCAACTATTTCAAATAGTCCAAAGAATTGATATTCAAAATGCAGAGAAAGAGAGAGAAGAAAAGAGAAACTGTGAGGGAGAGCAGTTTCCAATTCCAAGTTTTCAATTCAGCTCCTGATCCAATTCTTAACAAAGCAGGAAGAGAGAAAGCATTCAAAAATGAAAGTAAAATATCACTGTGTCAATACACCAGCAGGTGGCATTGCTCACCAGAATATTTAAAAATACTGAGCTTGCTTCCTGGAGCTCAATCCACTTTTATCCGGCTTCGATAAACTTGCTATTAAAAATAAGGCCTTTCTCTTCATACAAGTAAGTGTTTTCTTTGACGTTTTCTTAATATTTAAATATTAGAGAACCAAAGGGAAACTTTAGAAGAAGTAAAATAAAAGCAAGCCAGGCCTTAAACTAGAAGGATGTAATTTAAAAAGTCAATTAGGCCTGTAGTTTTTAAACCTGTATTTCCCCCTCCCATTCAGGAAGGCACTTTTCAAAATTTCAAGCGGTCAAATAACAGCCTCCGAAGTTTTAGCCCTTGCTGTCCGGGCTGGAGGTGGAGGAAGAAAGGAAGGGAGTTGCTGCCATGCAGGTGGCATTGCAACCAAGCTAGATAGCAATTGATGTTTGTCAGCCCTGTCTGTGCTCCATTCGGAGGAAGCAAAGACCAACTAGATTTCACTAATGTTTAAAACAGATGAATCAATTCCATATATTTTTCTATATTTATATTCCTCTGAGATTTTTCTGGGTGGGAGGTAGAGGAGCACCATCACTATAGTTTTAATACTTGCAGGTTTTAGTCTTCCAGCAGTCACTTCTATGGAGTTTAGCAAAGCCTTTCAGAGGTAGCATTGCAGCCAGGCATTGGTGGCAGTTGATGTTTCTGTGCCCTCTGCTCCATCATTGAGTCACCAGATCCAGATGTGGGCACAAACAGGGAAGACTAACTGGATTTCACTAATGTTTAAAACTGATTAATCAATTCCTCCATATAAACTTCATTGTTTCTCATTCCATTCAATCAGGAGAACTGTTTTTGTATTTTATATTTTTGTATTTTTGTACACTAGGTATGGAGCCATCAGAGAAATATCTGTTCAAACACAAAGGATCCTATTTTGTTCAAAGTCTGGCTACCCCAGAATACATTGATTCATTGCGGGATTTTGAAATCAGAGACAGTGATGTGTTTATAATCTCTTATCCAAAATCAGGTAAAATTTACAGTATTTTCCTTGGGAAAAATGTTCCATTGCATTGGAATCCATCATACCATATTGTCATTTTTGGAAAGTGACTTCATCACATTAACATACGGATTCATCACGTATTGTGGCAAATCTGTGGGGTCCTGGCGGCATGTGTGGAGAACCCATCGCACATACCCCTTATCATCCGGCTTACCTTTGGCCCCATCCCACAGGAGAGGGGGGAATGATCTGCTCTCTGGCTTCCTCTCATTGTTGCAAATGCAACATAGGAAGCCGCCTGTGTTGTTGCAGCAGCAACATACAACCTCATCATACAGGCTAATTTGCTCATTGTACGCAGGTTCCTCTCCCCTTTTGCCACAGAGCCCCACTGGAAGTAGATGTGCGTCATATAATGGGCTCTGTGGCAAAACAGGAGAGGAACCTGCGTACAACGAGCAAATTAGCCTGTATGATGAGGTTGTATGACTGGAAGTCAAGCCAAGCAAACCTTGGGAGAAAAGCCTAAAGGAGAATGGAAATAACATGATGGGCCCTAGAAAAAACCAACAGAGGAAGGACAGACTCAGGCCAAAGCCTTTCATTGAAAGAATAGAGGAGGCATGGGCAAATCTCAGTCCTCCAGGTGTTTTTGACTTCCAGCTCTGGGAAATCCCAGCAGTTTACCAACTGATAGGAATTGTGGGAGATGAAGTCCAAAACACCTGGAGGACCAAAATTTGCCCATGCCTGAGATATAACATAACACTCCAGATGTGTCATTGTGTCCTTACCAACTTGGCAAGTGTTAAACTTTAGGAGGGTCCACTGCTGCTACTGTTTACAGATGTGTAGAGTGAAGAAAAGAGAGAGACAATTTGGTGGAGGAAGATGCATCCAGTCTTGGTTTTGGTGGAATAGTGCATTCCCACATTGAATACCCCAGAGCTTTCCAAACTTCCCATGTTGGTGACATACTTTTTAAACATGGATCATTTTGTGACATAATAAATCCATTTTACTAGGAAACCAGAGATTAAGACAAACTTTTATAAAAGACACAGACTTAAATTGTAATATTGAAATATATGGGACACAACTGATCTCATGAAAACTTGTGGATGAGGAGGTCTGACTATACACTGCAATTTTTCCTGTTTTTTATTCAGAATTCTGTAACCTTAAAGCATGTCCCAATGGATTTACCACCTCCCCTAAAACCATAGCAATAATTTCTATGAGAAGTTAAGAATATTTGGAGGCACTTCCCCCCCTAGTTGCCCATCCCTGTTCTAGAAATTGGAACTCAACATCCATCAGCCCCAGCCAATGGGAGCAAAACTCTGTGTGAGGATGTGGAAGAGAGGTTTCTCTGTTGTGACCCCCTTCAATTACATAATGCCCTCCTCTTCAAAGCCCAACTAGTGCTGATGTTGATGTCATTCCAATGTCCCGTTAAAATAGTGGTTCTCAACCTGTGGGTCCCCAGACGTTTTGGCTTTCAACTCCCAGAAATCCCAACAGCTGGTTAACTGGCTGGGTTTTCTGGGAGTTGTAGGCCAAAACACCTGGGGACTCACAGGTTGAGAACTACTGCATTAAAACTTGGATTATTTTTTTTTAGGTCTTTGAGCTCTAGCAATTTGTTATATGTGCATGATTTGGGGCTTCTGTAACTTCCAAATTATTCAACTTTTAAATTGTTGAAATGTTTAATATATTCTTAGATTCTTTAAATTTTAATTTCAAAATGCTTAAACTGTTTTGATTGGATACTACCCAGGATTTTTATAATATTATGTGAGATGTAGCTATTTTAATTACATCATTATTATTTGTTACCTGTTTCTCCATACAGCTCGGGTTGGGATACAACACAGTTAAAACACACAGATTACACAACAACATTAAAATACATATATTAAAATATACAGAACAAAGATTAGCAAACCAATACTAATAAAATGTAAATTTAAAATTCACAGTTTAAAATTAAACTCATGAACCATTAATAAGAAGCTTTGGCATTTATGCTCTATATTCCAACCATTTATTTGGATAGACTTTTGCATTTTCAACCTGTATTTTTGCTGTTTGTATTTTTATACAAATCCATTTTTAAATCCCTGCAGTATAATTCAAGTTCATGTGCAAATCAGAACTATCAAGCATAAGGCAACCATCTAATTATAGCAGGAGTCATGTAGATAAGACAGTTATAGCAACAGGTGCTTCTACTTGCTCTTCTGCTTTTGAGAAGGTCAAACTGTGGACTCTTCTACACATCCACTAACTCCGATTCAGGAAGTGGATCAAAGAGATCTAGTTTGCTCCAGAGTGGCTACACAGACACTACAGGAAATGCCTGCAAGGTCCCACAGTCCACAAAGCTGCAACAATCTGAATCAAGTGAATCCCAGGAGTATTTTTTCCTCAGCTCCTCTGGAAATGCGCTCCTTGACAACAGTGTTTATCTTTAATTTAGTGTGCCTTTTTCTTGTTGAGGGAGACATTTGTTTCCCTTCCCCCAAGCTGTCAACTGGACTTCCATATGCTACTCCTGCAGCTTTAACGCTGTCCTGAATGCTTTTTCTTCTTTGCAGCACTCTACTGTTTATATGACGATTAACTTAAGCACATTTTATGACATGATTTGAAGGTAGTTTTCTATTATCCCAGTGGAGGCCAAAAGGGCCAAGACAGAGAAGAATAGTTCATTTTATGCTGGGGGGGGGAAGGGGGAGATTAAAGGAATAGAACTATTTTCCCCTGTTTTACGGTCGTTGAAACAACCCTTGTGTATGACATGGGAAGAGGCAACAAAAATGGGGTTATTCGCCTCCCCAAAATGGACTATCCTTCTCTGTCTAGCACCCCCTTTTGGCCTCTGCCCAGATAATGGAACAGTACCTGTATTTTTTTTGGTACGTTTTGTTATCACACAGTTTCTGGCTGGATACATGTTGGAGGTCACATTGGAGGTGCATGTTTTATGCTACCTGTGTAGTAGGGACCTGTGTTGCTTAAGCAAGACTGAGTAACAAGTTCACAGTGCATTCCCAAGAATGTCCCTATCTCATGTCAGCACCCATTTGTTCATTTATGAGAAAAAACTGCTTGCTAAAGTTGCACAATCCATTCAATAAATGTGTGTTCAAGCCTGTCTTCATAAATTCACTCATTCATTAGCAAAAGCAGCAAGACTCAAGACTCTAATAGTAACAACTTTAGCAAGCAGCCCCTAATTATATGTTATGCAAGCCATTTCTCAAAACAAAATTGACTCCTGTCTTAGCTTATACGGCCTTAGATCCCATACTCGAAGAAAGGTCAGATATAAATAAATAAATAAAGGTAGGAGCAATCTTGCTGTCATAGAACAATGGGTTCACCCCTACAGGAAAAGAGATACCACCTAAATTATTATGGCCATCTGTTGGGAGTGCTTTTGATTGTGTATTCATCAACAGAAGCAGGAAGACTCAAACAGTCACAGAAATAATGTTAGCAATAACCTACTTACCTGTTACACAAACGGCAGACTAAAGCCTTTATATTCAGGCAGGCTTTTAAGGATGAAGGTGTTTAAGACCATCAAGGGCTACCCTGTTTTTGTGATGTGATATTATATGCTTTTATGGTTTTAACCTCAATTGTTTTAATATTTATGTTGCTTAATACGGTTTTTATATCTGTATATTTTAAGTTGTATTGGAATGCTTTTAGTTGTGAGCTGCTTTAAGTTTCCGTATGGAGAGAAAAAAGGGGGATAGAAATAAACATAACAAACAAACAAAACCATCTTCTACCTCAGCATTTATCACCTTGGGCCCCTTACTGGGAGAAGTTGGGTTGCATGGCCCTTGTACTCTCTTCCAACTCTATGAATATTGATACTCAATTAGTGCTTGAAAGTATCATCCTGAATCTTCTGTATCTTATCCTCTGTTGCTTTGATCTGATTCAGATAATGTTGCCTTTGCTTCAGACACTTCCTTTTTTGTCTCCTCAAGCATTACAATTTGAACCTTGAAAATAAAAGGTAGCTGGATGCCCCAGAATGAATCAGGTTGTTCATATTTACACAGGCACCATGTGGACACAGCATATTTTGAGCATGATCTATCATGAAGGTCATCGAAATGGAACTGAAAGCATGGACCTCTTGGACAGAGCTCCATGGCTGGAATATAAGGTCCGCGATATTGATTATGTCAATCGTCCATCACCTCGTCTCTTTACTACCCACATGCGCTCCCAATTTGTGCCAAAGGGTCTAAGTAATGGGAGAACCAAGGTAGAATCTACTACTTCTATTGTTACATTTACTTAAATGTCATGACTTGCTAACTGCACTGAAATTACCAGAAATAGAGCACCTGCAGAGGGTAAATTTTGACCATAACATTTCTAGGAGCCATTTGAAGGTTTGCAAAAGCCAGTGAGGCACAGTGGTTTAACTGCTTCTCAACTAGGATCTTGGGAAAGTCACACTCCCTCAGCTTCAGAGGAAGGTAAAGACAAAACTCTTCTGAACACCACAATGATAGGGTCCTCATAGAGTCAAAAACAATTTGAAGGTGATGATATAAAATAAGAACTAAAATAAGAGCTAAAATTTCAGATATATGCTGTTACGTTTTAGTGAGCCACTTTGAAAATTGATGACATCGTCACATAGTTTGTGTTGTTTGCAGCACTCTGTCATTTGTGCTATGCTAGAAATGCTATAATTGCAACATTGTGTGCCCAGAGCCAAGAACCAAAGGGGATTTTTTTATTGTGTCAGAAGCAACTTGAGAAACTGCAAGTCGTTTCTGGTGTGAAAGAATTGGCCATCTGCCAGGACGTTGCCCGCGGGATGCCCAAATGTTTTTACCATTCTGTGGGATGCTTGTCTCATGTCCTCACAAGGGAAGCTGGAGCTGTCAATCTCACGGATTTGAACCACCAACCTTCAGGTTAGCGATTCAGCCAGCACATATGATCCAGGGCCTCTGTGGCTCCTAGGTCATATGTAACCAAAGGTCATGGTTATATATTGTGCCAGATTTTGAATACATCCTCTTGACCCCACAAACTATCTATGGCTTCCTTCTGTAGTGGTCACTTAGGCCTCAGATGAGGATCATCATGTACGTATAGGCCGCTCCCAAGTTATTATCAACTCTTATGAACAACTTGTAGATACTAATGGGCTGGCCAGCCCTTGGGGAACAGTGGCGCTAGCTCACCCTTCCTGCCCAGTTCCTGACAAATGAGGCTGGGAACAGAACTTCTGAGGTGGGTTCATAATGAAAATGAAGGTAACAAGCTTTGGCAAACTAACTTTTTAAATTTATGGGGAAATAGGACTTCTCCATAGAATTTGCACATGCTACCAATTGTTCCTTCATCAGATAGGAAAGTGCTTAGTTCACCGCCTTTTAACTTCATTGACCCTTGCCTCTTATAATGATCCAGATTAGTGTAATCTTAACTCGCTGCTGCCTCTTTTTAATGTCATCAACTGTTCCTCCTACATTGATCATGATCTGAAAGGAATCCCTTGGATNGGGGTTGGACTGGATGGCCCAGGAGGTCTCTTCCAACTCTTTGATTCTATGATTCTATGATTGATTCTATGAACCAGCTTCTTACCTTCATATCAGGAAAAATCAATGGTGCCATGTGTATCTATAAAGTATGTCCTATTTGGCATCGTTCTCTTCCCTTCTCCCCATTTATTTTGTTTCCTATATTATTAGAATTCCTGCTTTTCTATTGTGGGAGAGGGCAGTGCTTACTAAGGCCTCATTCCTCTGGAAAGCAGTCATCGGGGAAGGCTGAATGGCATTTTGCAAAAATGATTCATTTGCAGATAGACGCATTGAACAGAGCCGGAGACAAGCAGCCTGCCAAGACTCACTGTTCCCACATCTGATCCCCAGGAAGACAACTGCTGCCCCAAATGTTGTTGGCTAACGAAGTCAGTTCTCTAGGCTTCTCTTTTCTGTCTGACATAGACCAGCAATCTTCTATTCTTTGCAATGTACAGACTTTTTGGTTTCCCTGAGGGCATGACTAGCCACCTCCAGATGTTGTGGATTAAAATCTTCCATCAGTTCTAGCTAGTGATGTGGGATTTGCTGTCTAAAACCATCTGCAAAGCCACAGCTGCTCAAAGCTCCTCTAGTCTAGAAAAGAAGGTCCTCCAAATACTATGGGGAAATCTTGACCACATTCTGATGTGGCTTGGCCACGTGTCCCAGCCTTCATCCATGAAATCTTGGTGCTGTTGAACGCCAGATCTGTCAATGGTAAAACAACTTTCATCCAGGATTTAATCCTGGATGAACGGGCAGATCTGGCGTGCATCACAGAGACCTGGCTGGACGAAGCGGGAGGTGTAAACTTGACCCAGCTTTGTCCACCTGGGTTCTCTGTGCAGCACCAACCGAGATCCGGAGGGCGGGGAGGCGGAGTTGCAGTGGTCTATAGAGATTCCATTCTTCTGACCAGGGCCCCCATCCCGCAGTCAACAAATTTTGAATGCGTCCACCTGAGGGTGGGTGACCGGGACAGATTAGGGATTCTGTTAGTGTACCGTCCACCTCGCTGCACTACAGTCTCCCTACCTGAGCTAGCAGGGGTGGTCTCGGACCTGGCATTGGAGTCCCAGCAGCTACTAGTGCTGGGGGACTTCAATGTCCACGCCGAGACCGCCTTATCGGGAGCGGCTCAGGACTTCATGTCCACCATG